TCTCTCTCTCTCTCTCTCTCTCTCTCTCTCTCTCTCTCTCTCTCTCTCTCTCTCTCTCTCTCTCTCTCTCTCTCTCTCTCTCTCTCTCTCTCTCTCTCTCTCTCTCTCTCTCTCTCTCTCTCTCTCTGACACCTCTGACACCTCTGACACCATTCGTCGAACTTTCTCGCAGCTAGACTTAACTATCATTTAATCAACGAGAGTGTGCGTTGACAATGCTAATATAAAACTACATCGGCTGGATGTGTACATAGAAACGATATTGTGCGATAAATTCATACAACGCAAACGGAATGATTTGTTAATGGATGTATCAGCTTCGGGGCATTGCAGTCTTCGCGAGCAACAACTACAATTGCCGCAGCAGTCCCGCGCTTGTAAAGTTTTGTTCGTTTGTTCAATCTCGCTTGCAAGCACCACGGAGAAACGGATATCGTGTACGACAGCGCGTTTACAGCGTGTTCCAGTAATTGTTTACGCACGGATTTTGCAGAAGAGTAAAGTACGCTGTGACGCGATCAACGAACAAATATCCTCGATATGATTTTCGAATCGTACACTAAAAACTTGCGACCCGCGCGAGTAAATACCACGTACGGTACAGAAATATGTTTTCGTAGATTAAACATCTCGACCATCCTGAAGTCAGAACGATCAAACTCGTTCTCCAACATGGAAGCAAATTGAAAAAGGAATTGTCATGTAGACATGAGAACTTTGTAATATTATTTCTCATAGTCGTGAGGCGACATTGCGTGCGATTGTTCTAGTTCCGAGTTATCGATACATCCTAAATGTCGTATATATCAAAGAATTGATTTATATAAACTATAAACTAATGTAGAGAAAATTAGGAAAGATTACGATTATAGTTCGCAATATGTATTTTCCATCAAACGAGCTCCCGATTAAACCGACACTATTTACTTGAATTCGACACCGTGAGACACCGTTTTCTTCATCAAAATTTGAAAACGTAGCTACAAGCATATTTGTAGTCTACGAATTACCAAGAATGTCTTTTTTTCACAAGAAATAAAATTCTTTGCCTGACTAAGATAAATAACGCGATAAGAATACACTTGAGGGCAGTGTGTTGATCGTCTGCACAGTCCACGTCTGAAATGTCTCAACTATCGCACTTCCTGCGTAATCTAAGTAAATAAGTATTATTATCCCTAACTACGGAAAAAACATGCTACGTATTGTGTAGATTGATATCAATGTTCGCGATAAGTTACATCGGTATGTCATGAGTATGAGTGAAATATACTAAACGTATTGATGTCTAATGTACAGAGCGAGAGAAAACGGCGATAAAATATTACAATCGTGAAAAATCACAATTTTGAAAAGCATCCTTTTTTTCTCGCTAATCTCTTCAAACGAAAAGAAGTAACGGTTATCTGTTATCGCACGCGATTTGATTGTACGTGTTTAGATAAAGTAATAATTTGTGCCCTTGTTTGTCTAACACCGCTTGAAAATATCGAAATAATTTCATCAATTAAAAAATTATCTAAGAAATACATGATAAAAATTGAATAAAAAATAATCCTACCTTCATAAATATGAAAAAATATTTTCATAACCTTAGTTTCTCTTTGGTTTTTATCAATGTGACAGTTTATTTAACTTTAAATTTGTCGAAAAATTTATCTTTACCAATATCCTGTTTTACAACAAGCACATTTAAATTTTCTCTCGCCCTCCTGCAAAGTAAATGACACCTTGATTGCTACTCTTTATTTCCGAGCGTCGACAATTCATCGGCGGTAATCCCCGTTCGAATAATTATCGATCTTAGCTCGAGGCGACATGAGCTCGGGCAATGTGAGTTATACGTGTGCTCGGCGAGACAAGGCAAGCGGTGAAATCAAGGCCCGTCGCACAAAAGCCACCGTGTGTTTAAACCGCCGTTCGCTGGAAGCAACATATGAAGCGCGACTCGACGCGCACAGTGCCGAGCACAATAACTATTAGCAAACTTTATAACGAACTTGGGCATAATACTCGCTCATCCGCTACGAGTCCCTGCTAAGGATTAGATACGAATCGACGTCGATATCGGGCTTTTATGTCGCGAACGATTAATGGCAGATCGTCGTAAGTCTTCGCGTTCGCGATATTCAAACCACCGGTTCAATAGATAGTTTTCGCTGTGTGAGGATACTTGATCCTTGATCTGGAGGAACTGTTTTAGTGATATTCTATCTTAATTTTGGTACCTGCATCTTTCAGTTTTACGGTAATTATTGGAAAGAATATCGACTGTGATAGATACAATAATCATAAAATGATACGATTCTATGGACACGAGAAATTCTATAATCCTGAGGATATCATAATATTAAAAATATCTTATACATTTTAAAATTTGCATTGAAGATGATTGTAGGAACTGCTAATGTACAAATGTCACATTGCGTGTTATTATGTAGGATAAGAAATTCTGATCACGTATTACAGCATATGCACGCTCTAACACAGAAATCGAAGAATATATGTATTTGCGAAAATATATTCCCTCGACTCGTTTTCTACAAAGGCACTCGGATTCGGTGGCAATGTCAAATTCTTATGACATTTGAATCGGATCTAATTCTAGTCTTAAAACACTTTAATCAACAATTGTCAATAATTATCTATCATTCATCTCTTATAATTGCGATATTTTAGTTTTAATAATACTTATTAAAAGGAAAATATGCAAAATTCATTTTTATAATATGTTTCCAATAACTTCTGATATTCTGTAACCTTGCGAACAAAAACAATACATTTTTTTATAATGTACAATTATTTTGAAAAATTTCATTCACCAATTATATTTTTTATCGAACATACTCGAAGAGAATCTCGGAAAATCTTTTATAAAAAATATCTCCATTATCAGATTATTTTCTGGGCATATCGTGCAAACACTGGCAAATTATGAAAATAAATTCTCGATTAAGTAATATCATAATGAACTACATAACTAACACTTTTACGAGAAGGTATTCTCGTTCTTCATCAAAAATCCTAAAATTGTCGCAATGTGCATCACTGATGTACAATCGACAATTGCGTCGTCCTTGATTAACGATAATATCGCACGAACGTTTAAGTTCGTCTCGAGCGCGACAGAAGCGCGTCCTTCGGTGCACTGACATAAACTACAACGCACATAAGACGTCACACATTCCATCCATGTAACGGCCAGCCGTTCGTAGAATCGTGACATCGAGCCCTCCCGTTCCTCGCAATTGAAACGACCCTGAACTCCTCCTCCGTCGCCCGGCAATGACGACTTTCACCGCTACTTCAAAAAACCCGGAGCCAAGAACTATCAGGCCGAAAACGCCCGATTGCCTCTCGAGGATCTCGTCATCGACCTGAAAAACGTCCATCCGAGTCTCGTGCTGAATCTCCAAAGACGCGAAACACAAACGTCACGCAGCAATTTTTCCCACGACCTTCTTTATAATTTTCCAAATTGAAAGGGATCTTCGAAAGTTGCTGCCCAGTCAATAAAAAGATATCCAAACTAGTCATTAATAACATATTAGACAATCATGGAAAATAATGGTACCACAACAATCGCTAAATATATTCTTGATGATTATAGGCATTATTGGCATGATAATTGGCAGGCATTCATAATACCGATGAGTATGTATTTGTGATATCCCGATGGAAAGATTTTAACTTGTTTTCAGTCTTCTAGTTTTCATCCTTCTTTCTTTTCTTCTTTTTCTTGTAGCGGATTATACAAATTATATATATTATCTTCCTTTGTATTGCATCATCAAAATTTTGAAATAATATAACGATTTCTTCTTCAAGTTTATTGTATCGATAACGTTTCTCTTAAATTTCATGATGAGTAATATCCATATCCTTCTTTCGATTCCCTTTGCTAATCCTCTGGTGAAGTGAATTCTCTCAGAGCTCGAATCGATGACTAGTTTGCTCCACTAAAAATTCAATTGCTGCCACGCAAATTTCTTTCCCGAATGTCCTTTCGCGATAAAGATTTACATGTTGCAACAGCCCGCTGCCTTGTACTCGTAACTGAAGCAGTGTGTTCCGCTCTCTTACATAAATCTAGATCGATCACCTTCGGTCGGGCACTGACCAGAAAATCCTCTCGACGACTATGCGAGAAAGTTTCGGGAGTCGATTTCGATCACGCGCGAGACTGACAGACGACGGCGGTTTTTCGGCTACGCGACGATGTCCATGTCGGACGAGGAATTCGACGTGGTTACTGCCAAACTGCCGAGGGTGTCTTCGTCGGGTAAACCGTGGTGACAGGCAGCCGCAGGTGGGCTCAGCGGTGGCAGGTGCGGCGACGAAAGCATCGGGTCACCGCCGTGCACGGGACCACCGGTGTCGTCCTCCATGAGATCCTCGAGCTGCGACATGCTCAGACTCGTCGCCTCGTCACCCGTCACCAGGTCCGGCATCTACGGCAGAAAAGTATCCCAAATCCTGTAAAATGAGCCGCCCTGGAGCACTTAAATGCTCGGCCGTCAAACGTGGACTCGGATGGGATACAAGGCATGGCGTGGGAGGTTTTCAGGCGTAGGAGAATTTCAGGAACAGCCCAGTGTAAGATTTTCTGATGAAAGTAGAATTATGCCGGTGATTTTTCATGAAGGTATAGGTGGTTAAATTGATAGTCTTTTATGAAAGCGGAAGTGGAGAAGTGGCGCTGGTGAAGTCTTCTATATTGAAGTAGAAGTGGATATGTGTATCATACTGGATCCATCGATGATTAATGATATGTGATACGGGGTTCAGGTTACGTGTTTTCGCGCATATAATACTCAATGTTTATTCCTATTTACATTTTGTACTCGTAATAGGATATACACAATTAATTTCATAACAAAATAAATAATAAAGAATTTAAAATCAATTAAGAGCCGTTAAGTAAAAAAGTGGTTTTCAAAAAAGTTTCTAATGTAAAATTATTCAACGATTTCAATATCAAGATTTCTTAAGGCTCCTGGTCTCGTAGCCGTGAACTCCGCGTTGACAGTGGCGACATAATTGTGGTAGGAATAAAAACCTAGTCGAATTTACCTAGTCGATTTATTGTATAAGTAAATAGTGTAACAGTTTGACCTAATCAATTGATACGATAAAAGTAAATTACTGAATAACATACAAAATGCTAATTTATAATTCAAAAATTTGTTTACAAAAAAATAAACGCGATAAATACAGAATATATATAGCTTAGTACCGTTACCGACATGTCCATATGACAGAAATTCTCATGCAGCGTCTTAGGTGGAGAATCGATGAACTATTAGACGTGAAAAAATGACATGTTGACTACCCAATTTATTCTTGCGTGCCATTTCGTTAATATTCGTTAAATGTTAGTGCTGTGATATGTGACGTGTTCATGAAACCTGTAAAATTATCCGAAAACTAAGATTAGCAGGGAAAGCCCAACGTAGAAGGAGTATTTTCTACTCATACAGACAGCTGTCAACCGTGTGTTTTCTCGCATAATTAGGCTTCGCTTCACGGTTGATTTAACGATTGTTTATAACCTGTCAAGGAAAAAGCATAGTTTTCGGACAATTTTACAGGTGTCTTAAAGCGATCTAGAGTGTTACTTTGTTAAATTATCATTTTATTTAGAAATGGCACGCAAGAATTCTCGGCGTGTCATTTCTCGCTTCTGACGTCACGAATCTAATATGGCTGCGGTGACTACCCAGGAGCCTTAAGAATTATAAGGATTTTTTAGTTTCGTTCACAAAGGTATTACAAAACATGTAATAAATGATAGAATTATCTATTAACACTGTCAGCAATGTTAAAACTTTTTTTTCATGTTTTGGGTCATACGCGCGCGCGCGCGATATCTCGGTCGTCGTACTAAGTTTTTTAATATCAAGCCATACGATCGAACGATTTATATTGGTGTAAAATATATCGTAAAATATATATATATATATATATATATATATATATATATATATATATATCCGTGATATTGACAAAATGTGTCGTGGGGCTTCTGAAAAACGATATCGATACGACCGACGCATCGTACGGCAGTCAACGTGTTAAATATTTTCAATAAAATAAGAAAACAAATTACTTAAAGTTGAAGAAAATAATATTACTCTGTTTCGCGCTTTCAAACGATTAAAGAAATTTAATGTTTGACATTATCAAAATTTAAATGTTTACGTCAGTCCTGTACATCGATATAAATTGAACGAGGCTGTTTCTCCGCCAGACTCGGTTAGCTCCGGCAACTTTGCGAAGTCACAGATGGGTCGGCTTACCAGAACCGGAATTAATTTCCAATCGCATTTCAGGCACAAACGACCGTGATCCAATTTACCTGTCGTTATATTATGTCAGTGCAACTAATTTGTCGCGGATTGCTTGTCGGTCTTTACCGCACCGAATTTATGCGATTTGCATGTAACAAATTTTACTCGTGTTACAAAGTGTCAATCGTGTAGAGGAAGTAAACCTCGAATATATATCCCATACAATACCTATATACGATATTTTCTAAAACTACATATGTATAAATTAAATTCATCCAAAGTTAATATTTAAGTTAAAATTATCCATAAATCAGATTCGTCAAAAGTGAAAAAGAGTACTATTTTGAAAAGAGAAATTGTAAATATATATATATATATCCGTGATATTGACAAAATCACGTGGGTGGGGCTTCTGAAAAGCGGTATCGATGCGACGACCCATGATCAACGTGCCAATGTTTTAAATATTTTCAATAAAATAAGAAAACAAATTAAAATTGAAAAGAAAAAAACACTACGGAAAATTTACGAGAACAAAATTATCCGCTTTAATATTACGGATCTCTGATTTATATTCTTCACGATGGTGCGATTTCGTACTTCATGCGATATTCCGTAAAGTGATCGCATACGCTTTTTACATAACTGCGCGCTCTCGGACGGCGAGAAGGGCGTTAAATTTGCATGAAAAAATGCCGTGGTGCGTGGTTGCGCAACGTGATGTCTGACGTTACAACTCATTCAGCGATTATCCTTTGTCCCGACGTCGAGAGAGGCACAACGAGTTCTTCTCGCGAAAATATACGTGCCGAGATGCAAGATAAAAGGTATAAGTCTCGCGCGAGAAGTAACACGAACGATAAGAGGCAGGCGGACGATAAGGATTGCACTCTGCGGACGTACGCACAACGCTGGTGATAAAAGTAAATATTTTGCACGACATTCAGGCGCGTACAGATTTAAGACGTGCAATTACCTTCGCCATTATGCAATCTCAAAATGAATCTTATGTAAGTGCCGTGTCTCCCCTAACAAATATTCAACTACATATTATTATTGCAAACTGTAATTCTTTCTGATGATTTTATTTTTATTCAAAACAATACTATGAGAAAAAAATAAATACACATCAGTAAAAGACAAATTTAAGTATCCTATTTCAGCAACTTTGAAATCAGATACAAGTTATACAAGATGTTTTCAAATTCATCAACTAATGAATTAATAAATCGCTCTCAATTATCTCTGGAGACGTTCCTTCTTCCACAAATATTATATTTTGTTTATTTTTATTAAAAAAAATATTCTGCTTTCTTATAATTTGCTTGTTTTTATTAGTAAAAGTGACTTATCGTTATCTGCGGCACATTTGTACAAGATCGTTCGCACAAAGTAAATCGAGGAACAAAATTAGCGTTAAGCAAACCTACTGTCGCAGTAAAATTCCTCGTGCAATACGCGAGGCACTTCCATCGCCTCGGTCGGAACTCGTCGCACGAATCGCGAAGCGGGACGTTATCAATGTTTAAATTTCTCTAGCCGTGAGGAAGCTGCTTGTCAGACTACTCCGGTGAAACTTTATCTCGAACAATAATTCAACTCATTCTCTCTCGGTACGTCATCCCGCGTCTCTTTCGTTATCTCGCGCGTCGCAGTGACTTCGAATGTTTCCGAAAACGTGTTGAGCGGATGTAAATTAACATCAATGCACACAGCAATCGTGCAATCACCGTCACGCCCACACACCGTCACGTTCGTGAACAAAGCTTTAATGTTCGTTAAAAAGCTCGATAGACCGAATTAAATAAAAAAATTATAGACAAGAATAAACAGACAAATTGAAGAGTTTTATCGATGTCATAAACTAATTGAGACAACCGTTTAAAGAAATTATAATAAAAACGTTTCCACTTAATTAAATTGATAATGTTCTACTTTTATTTATTATTACTTTTCACCATTTCTGCATATAATATATTCCATGTCTCAATGTTTAAAATTTGTTATTCAAAATTTGGCGATACGAATAAACATCAGTTACGCCACTGTCAGTACAATTATAATAATAACGTTAATAATTCACCTCTACCTCTTTGCCAGTTTTCCCTTGTCAACATGGTCTCTTTAAGTGGCCCAAATCTGTCGTGGAGGCGGCCGACCGGAGCGCAGCGTCGTTATCGGCGCTTCGAGAGTTCTTAATCGCATCACGAAACCGCACGTGTCAAGCCTCATATGTACATGTGTGCACAATTTTATCTGACCCACAAATTCGACGGTAAGTTTACCACCATCTCGGTAAATATCGGACGCCTTAAAGAGTAACACCAACGACCATCAACGTGAACGGCTATCTCAGTAATCCGTCGGAATCGAGAAACGAAACTGTAATGAGTGAAAGCAATTTGCGCGACTGCAATTTGCTATTGAGCGCAATAATTGTAATGAAAAATCAGCTATATAATCAAAATTAATATTTTAAGTAATAACAAAGAAATGTTATATCTCTTTATGATCTTTCAGACAAAAATTACAATACCCAACACAATAATTATAATTATTATAGAATAGTAATTAAAATTTTTAATAATTATATCAAACGTTTAATTATTATATAAAAATCTTTCTTCTTCGAATATTATTGCATTTGTCATCATTATAATTTTGCTGCTATGTGAAATTAAAAACTTGCATAATTTCGCGTAAAAACGCGCTAGTCACTCTTATCGTTCGTTCGAGCGTATTAACGAAAGTTTCGAAAAATGTTTATGAGATACCAGATCTAAGCACCGCAGTTCCGATACAATCATTTATTGTCAGCATAAGAGATCAAACGTGTTCGAAAGTTCGTCATCACGAAAATCGCTCGAGGCGTAACAAGGTCCGACGTTAATCGTTCGTAAACGAGAAAACATTTCTTATTATGCAAGCACTGCTACGGATCGATTTACGTTGCGTAATTAAATCGTTGCCGCTACATGTCGGCGCTGTCAAAAGACGGTTTTACTGCTGTCGTATACAACAGAGAGTATCGGCATAAACAAGGACGTAGAAGCACGGCACCATATTATACTCTCTCGAGAACGAGTGAACGAACGAGTAAGCGAACAGCTATTCGCCTCCGTCGGAACAGATGCACGTATTATGAAACTAGTCTGGCGAACGAGCAGAAAGTTTATTCGGATCAAGGATCGCGGATCAATCATTTTATATCGATTCCGTCGATCATTACAACCTCGAAAATCAAGCCTATGGCTATTAAGATTAAGTAGATCGCTATTGCAAAGCCGCCTCCACTACTACTACCGATCAAAATTAGGATCATTATCACGTATTAAGCGTAATAATTTCCTCATCAAATTATTAAGATAAAAAGTTATAAGTATTGTATAACACAATACTTTTATAAAATATAATATTTCGATTTGAATAGAATGTGATCACATATTTTTATTGTTCAAAAATTCGAAATAGGCACGAGCGAGGTTAGAAAATGTAAGAATTTAGTTAGAAATACGAAGGTTAAATATGAAACTTGAAAACTTTCGATGGATAGAGCGACGGATGAAACGATGTGATGGCATACATGTAATCAAGGGGGTAAATGTAAGAAGATATACAATTCAGGAAAAAGATTGCCGACTTACCTTTCGTTGCTCGAGTTTACCCCTCGGGAAAGTGTTGAGCATAGCAACGGAAGTGGACGCCCAGTTGAAATCGGAAACCGGAAGCCCGTGTGCTTTCGCTTGCAACTCAAGCTCCTGCACGCGCAGGAGCAGCCGTCGATTCTGATGCTCCAATTGCTTGTGCCTGAGCTCGTTCTGCTTCATTCGCGTGAGCTCGTTTTTCAACAGTTTTATATACTCCACCGAAGACTTGAGAATAGTGCCCTTGTTCGGCCTGACGTCTCGAACGATTTCGTAATATCTGTAAAATAATCGAAAACACAAACACGTTACACATCTGCTCCATATTTTAATTAACATAATGTTTCTGTGGAATTGCTCAAAAGATTATAAGCATTATTTACATTATTTCGATTGATTTTAATATTATTGATTTATTAATAAATAATTTAATATTATTTAAAATACTTTTTTGAATAAAATATTTTATATTGTTTTTATCTAGAATTCTTTCAATATTTATCCGTCGACAACAGCGTCGGAGAGCCAACAGCATCGGCAAAGATTGCATAAGAAGCAGTGATAAGGGACGTTCGTAGGCGTGACGCTCACGTTTTCAATTTCTCAGATCCTTTGAAAAATATATAAAAAGGGCGATGACGAGGGAACGGAGCCACCGGCGTTGTCTTCGAAACCCTTAGCGCACGATTATTTCGTCGGAAACGTGTTCGAACTGGGGGGGAGGGGGTTCGTGGGAGATTCCCAAAGTTCCTCACCCGACCGTAATACGACCGATATTACCGTCTCCTGAGTCATGCTGCCACCACACCGCTGCCACCACCGCTGCTACCACCGCTGCCACCGAAGCTGACGCCGCCACCGATGTTTCGAGAGCCGTCTCGAGATGGAATTCCGCGCGGGAATTCGCGCGGAATATCAGGCGCACGATAATTCGAAGGGACGTGGGCAACAAAATCCCGAAGAATTTCCATAACACGCGCCACATTCGTACCCTCCGCGTTATTCTTTTCGTCACACCTTGTGTCCTCGCGATTTCGCAGATCTGTTGTTAGTAAGGAGAATTTCTCATAGCGACACTCTCGAAAAATTCATGAGCGGCGCGTACATAAAAACGAGGCGCGAGAGGTAGCATCTTGGACTCGAGGAGTTTGCTCGCTCACGAGAAACATCCACGATGATCCAGCGCGAACAATCTCGCAACGCCAGTGTGACGAATGCTTGCCAAGCGACACGCAAATGAGAATGTAAAAATGACAAAGTCCAAGATTGCCAGAAGTGCAATTTTTTTTTTTTTCAAAAAAATATTGCGTTCTATTAGGTGGTGTCGAGAGTAACTTCAAAATAATATAAGGTACCGCATTTTCGCTTATTTTATATCAATTTTGAAAATGTAATTTATATTACATATAGTATTATAAGACATTTATTATATATAGTATTATAAAACATATATAATAAATATGAAAATAAAAGTGTATCAAATTGCATAAACACAAGTAAGCAAAACATTATTGTTCCTGGAAGATCAATAACTCGTTCAGATCAATAAGATAGAACTGATAAGATAGATATTACTCACAAACTGTGTGTAGAAAGTAATTCACACGATAACAGAAATCAGTTTTTGCAATTTAATAACTAAGGTAGCTGCAAAAAAGATTGTCTTATCTTTTATAGATAAACTTCTATATATCATCAATTACATTACTTTGATATTGATATCGATACTTTATTTGTTTCATCAGCTTTTCCTCGTGATAGATATTTCACTTTAAAGGATCAGCGCAGCTTTGCATGTGAAATTAATACAAAATTTGCCATAACTAAGGATATACTGCAGGTTCATCCTCGCGATTTAAATATCCTCACGCAAAACTCACGAACAACACTCACGGATTTTCATCGTTATTCACGCTATTTTTTCTCGTGTGCCGTGCCGCGCCGCGCGTTGATTTACGGCGGAATCGTTCCGTCGATTTATCGCCCGAAAAATCGCGAGCTGCCGTCGTCCACGAGAGAGCGGCGAATGGAAAGCCTATTATGAGATGGCATTCGTCATGCCCGGGCGACACATCCATCCTTCGTGGACGAACACCTTCTCCACAAACATCCCTTGAGAAAACATAATCCTCCGCCTTATGCCGCCAGAATACCCGCAGGATCGAACACGCATCATGCAGCTGTCGCATCCTTAAATTTGCTTGCCATGACCCATGATCGAAAGATTCTACCGAAATCCCGAAGTAAACGAAGGAGCAAGATAGCAACACGCGCGATCGCGCTGAATTTCATAAAATAATCAAAGTTCTGCGAAATAATTCTTAAAGGATATTTTAATTTATAAAAGGCAAAGATAACTGATAAAGGCCTATATGAAGTTAGCCCCCCATTTTTCGATTTTGAATATTTTTTTAGTTGTTCCAGGTTGTTCTACGTTTGTTCTATATTGTTCCAAAGTTATGAACAAAAAAATCGAAAAACATGACGGGAAAAGCAAAAAAACGATTTATTTTTGTGGCCACCCTATTTTTTTTAAATTCAAATTTTTTTGCTGTTCTGGATTGTTCTAATTGTTCTAAACATTGTTCTAAAATATTAATCCCCCTAAAAAAGAATTTAAAAAGATATAGCAAAAAATAGCATTAAGCGTCCAAATAGTATTTTTACATTTATCGCTATTATTATATTATGTTTTGACACCAAATTACATATTTAAGCTAAAAACGAATAGAACAACCCAGAACAACTCTCAGTTTCACCAGAACAAACATATAAAAGGCACTTTACTCTTGAAGGTAGAGAATTATTTTGTCTTTTTCGACCGATAATGTTACATCAGCGACACTAAAACCTAGAACAATGAGAAATAGACACAGAACAATCCGGAACAACTCTCAGTTTTGTCAGAACAAACGTTTAAAGAGCACTTTACTTTGAAGGTAGAGAATTATTTTGTCTTTTCGACCGATAATGTTACACCAGCGACACTAAAACCTGGAACAATGAGAAATAGACACAGAACAA